ACTCAGTATCGTCACTGGGAGACAGGAGGTAGGGGAAAATTCAAGGTTAGTGTGGTGTTAGGGAAAAAGTAATGGCTTGCCCATGAAAAACCACATCGTCACTGTTGCTGCACACTCACAGTCAGTCTTGGTTATGACAAAGGATTTATTATCTAGAAAATATGATAGAGTTGTAATGATACAAATTAAACACACACTCAATGCATCTAAGCTCATGTGTCTATTTCCTTGTCTTTGATTATCGCCTATAAGTCGATGGCTCCCACATTAATAGTCCTACCTTTGACATACTTCTAGGACATAGACTTGTATTGTCACTCCTTGTATTAAATGATTCCATCAAAGCAAGTCAGCACGTCCAAAATTGTGCTCCCTCACATGTGCTTGGCAGCGGAGCTCTGTTACTCCCTATTTTGCTGTTATCACTCATGCTAGAAACCTCAATGGCTTTTCCTTTCCTCCATCAATGTTCATTTTCAGTGTTTCATAATCTTGCTATTTCCGATTGTCTTTTATAATATACCTTCTTCAGATAAATCTTACTGTCAATGCTGAGTTTATGCGTTGATCGTATCAATCATGGCCTCCATGTCGTTCTTGCTTCATGCTGGGAAGTTTGCCCTCATGCTGCCTCCTCTCTCTTAATCAGCGTCCGTGGGCTTACACAAGACCCTGACATGTTCTATGTCTATGTGAATGAACAGAAATAGGCAACATTCCCTGCACTTTTGGAGCTTGCATTCTACTGGAAGGTTTCAACAATAATCAGGATAAATGAATAAATTAAAAAGCATGTTAGAAACTGACAACTACTGTGAAAAAAGAAGAGCAAGGTCAGAAGAAAAAAATATGGTGAGAAGAGGTAGAGGTATTCATGTTAGGTTATTTCAAGTAGTCCTTGAGGATGATATTTGAGCAAAGACTTAAAGGAAGTGAAGAAATAAGCTAAAAATATTTTGAGGAAAAGCATCCCAGATACTGGAACAGCAAGTCAAAGACCTCAGGTAGGAGGATGCCTGGTGTGCTGCAGATCCAGCAGAGAAGCCAGTGGGGTGGGGACGAAGTAAATAAGGAAAAGAAGAGAGCAGATGAGTTTGGAGAGGTAACAGGGAGCCGGAAAATATGGCTTCTTTCTAGTCCTGTATAAGGTTCTAGCTTTTACCCCGAGCAAAATGGGACGTCATTACAGGGCTGTAAAAAGTGAAATAAAATGATCTGAATTGTGCTTTGCAAAGACCATTCCTGTTGTTGAGAGGAGAATATCTTGTTACAAACCTAAAGATCATTGCAATACTGCTCTGCTTTAAACTTTTTTTTAACTATCTTCAGGATAAATTTTCAGTTTCATATAATCAATTAAATTTAGTCTCCTCATTTCCTGATACTGTCCATCCCAAGACGGCCATAGAAAAATGAGTCTACATGTGAGATTCCATAATTAAGTATTAAACCCGTACAAGGCAAACCAACATTGTATAGAAACGGTAAAATAATACAGGTGGAAATGATCAAGGACTACTTCGTGTAGCTGTTTGAATATGAGCTTTATCTTGAGGATTGATAAAATCAATTAGTCAAAACTGAGAATGTTGGTCTTTCTAGCCCAAGTATTGTGGCGTGGAGGATGTTGTAGGCAAAGGCATAAAATGAAGAAGGTCTGGCTGGGCGTGGAGAGAACCTCCCCGTTGGGGAGAAGTGGGAGACATGGAAGCCAAACAGAGAGTTTAGACTCTCAAATCAATATAAAAGGGGGAAACTTTGTAGATTTTTAAGTAGAAGAATAAAATAATAAAATCAGTTTTAAGACAGTAGCCTGGCTGATGGCTCTGGTTGATTGATGAAAAACAAACACAAACAATTGCTCTCCAACTTAAGGACTGTGCCCTTGTTATATCCTGGGTAAAATTAGTGACCTCATATGAGTTATGCTTTTGACCAAAGAAGGTTTCTATTATTTTCCTAGGAGATTTATGTCTGACCAAAGGAAAGAAAATAGATTTGAAGACAAAGGGAGTTATTGTTCTCCTCTGTGCTTAGGTGTGTGTATTGTTGGTGTGTATCAGATCCTAGACCTTTCAGTGATATTTACCATCAAACGTATAATATTAGTGTGTGACAACTACATTGAACCAAAAGGACATTGTAAAGTTTGATTTATATAATCAAGTTGATGTTTTGTTCGTCAGGTAACAGAAACAAGGACGGGTCCTCTTGGCTGCAGTAACTATGACAACCTAGATTCTGTCAGTTCTGTTCTGGTTCAGAGTCCTGAGAATAAGATTCAGTTACAAGGTATGTAGGTAAAATTTCATTAATTTTCTATAAGCCCGGATGACAATTATCCAGTTGTGATTTCTTTTCTATTTTTTTTTAAATAAGCTACACATACAACACTAGGCTGTAAAATCTCTTGTAAAAGGCTAATTTCACAATTTTTAACTGATACAAACTTTCTAGGTCAGATAAAAATATCAAAATTCACTTTTTGTCTCAAATTAAGTAATATATAGCAATTGAAAATTTATCCTGATGATATTTTTCTTACATCTAGTAATCATGTTGTTTCAATATGTAACAGTTTCTTCATAGGCTTAGCTGAGCTTTGACTTTTTTCTTATAGATTCTTGTAAAAGTTGTAACCACATTTACGCACAGTGTAAAATGAAGTGTTGACATTTTACATTTAAGTTAATGTAGCAGTCAAGGCTACATTTGTCTTCTGATAAATACAAATATACTTAGGAATATGTTAAAAAAATACTTACATTCGTATTATTTTCATTTTAAAGATAGATTTTG